TATTCAAAAGACATGATTAAACTTTTAGCCAACAAAAATTAATTCGCAAAAACCTAAAAAGAGCATTTTTGTTTAATTTGTTTATAATTATTATCCATATCTAGTTGTTATTAAATATTTGGGCAAAATGGCAAATACGCCCATGACAAGTGACTTAACATCACGTATGTTCGGACACAAAATAGTCTCGCAGATAAATCCATCCACATGTTTTTTGTCTAAAATACCCCTCATAATATAAGTTTAATTCATTCCATCCATTGCACTATAACTTCATCAATATTGCACATTGACCCCCAAATTGAACAAATATATCACATTAACCCCCATTTTCATAATTTTTTGATTTTTTTAGAAAATAATATTTTTTTTGAAAAAAAAATTCCGACCAGATTTGAGCATTGACTTTTTTTTATAAACCTTTTTTTTTCTAAATTTTTTTTAGCCGGTCAACCGCCACTTCCGGCATTGACTTTTTTTTTTTTGATTTTTTTTTCTCTAAATTACACTGTGTTAACAACAAAATTATTGTCTGAGACAGTAATATTACTATCCCAAACAGTAATATTACTACATGAGATAGTAATATTACGGTTGGAGACAACAATATTGGGTCGGGGGCAGCGTAATGGTAGGGTAAGATGATAAAATTCATTAATACAGTAAAATTACTGTTTGAGACAGTAATATTACTGTCTCAGACAGTTAAATTACTGTCTCCGACAACAATATTACTGTCTTGGACTACAATATTACTGTTTGAGACAGTAATATTACAGGCCAATACACTAGTATAGAAAGAAAAAAAAACGTTTTGAAAAAAAAGTCAACGACGGAGACCGGCGGTGGCGATCAAAATTGGAATAAGGGTCAAAAAAATTTAATTGGTGATTTTGGTCTAAATTGGGATGTAAATCGTGGAATTGAAGTTGAATTAGAGTTTCTAAAAGTTGGGGGTAATTTTAGTATATATAAAATAGTTTTCCGAATTTGTAAATAAGTTTGAGTGATGTGAATTTATTTGCAAGATAAAAAGTTGGATGTACCTTTTTTTATTTATTAAAGTGCTCTTGTCAATGTACCTATTTGCCATTTACCTTAAATATTTTCCATAAAATTATTACAACTAGTACTTTGCCCCGTGTGTTGCACGGTGCGTTGCACTAACGAATATTGAAGATAAAAAAAAATACATGTAAACAAATGAATAAAAAATATACAAACAAAGTTAAAAAATGGCGCGTTCAAAATCAACATGTAAAAATTTAACTAATTGCAATATAATCACTACAAAAAAATGTTTTTTTTGTGACGATCTTTTGTGACAAATTCTAAATTCGTCACATTAGTAATGGATCTTATGACGAAATTTCAAGTCGTCGCGTAAATTAAATTTTTATGAGACAAAATCATATTCTGTCACATAAAATTCATTTTATGCGACAACATTAAAAAATCGTCATGAAAGGAAAGGCCGGCTAGTTCTAACAATTGCCGCACATTTTTTTGTGACAATTTGCAGTTGTTTTATGACAAAATAGTTTCGTCACATTCATTATTTTTCCTGACAAAATTAATTTCGTCATTAGATAAAGTTCTTTTCAATTTAAAAAAAATTCCCTCCCATTTTTTAATTTTGAACGCCATTTTTCTTCTTTATGTGACAAAAAAGGTATTTTGTCTCATAAATACAAAACTAACTATTTTCGACACCTCTTAATTAAATATTATTTAATTGACCACAAAATTTCCTTTGCATTTGGTTACGTCTTTTTCCCTTGCCATTCTGTTCTTCGTGTGCATTTGGTCTCTCTCTCGCTCTCGTTCCGACCGCCACCGCCACCACCACCACCACCTTCGTTGTCGCCTCCACCACCACCACCACCACCCCGTCTTTCAATCTGTGCAGTGAAGGTTACTAATTTCTTCTCCTCTCCACCCGTCTCCCTTCTCTCATTGGTAAAATTAGGGTTTTTGCTCAAAGTGCTTAAATTGGCTTTTGTCCTCAAAATTAAATGAGATTTATTTAATTTTATATTTCAAATCTTATATAGGGGTTCTTTGATGTTTGAATTTTAGATTAAGTTTTTTGAAATTACATGTTAGAAATTAATCGGAAATAGATATCATAATTATAGTGCTTTAATTTCAGATTTGATTTTTCAATGCATGTCTACTAATGAACCCGAAAGAAATTGAAGAGAAAATAAAGGCATATGTAATTTCATATTGGCATATTGTGCTTCCACAGATGACTGCTATTTGTTTGTTATTTTCAATTGTAATTTCATGTTGGGTGATTAATCTGCATTTTGATTTATATTGATGGTGCAAAAAACGTTTTTTTTTATTTAACTTTTAAGCAATGGTTTGAAATTGAGGATTGGACCTGTTAACGTGTCCAAAGTATCGACGATGAAATGTTCAACGATGGCTATAGACATTGGAGAAACAGAACATATGCATATTACAAGAATATTGTGAAAAAAGGGGAAATTCCAAGAGATATGAGTCCACACGAGGAAGTTCCTATTGCAAAGTGGCTTGCAGTACGTGGTTGCCTCGAGAGTTCAAAATTTAAGGTTACGATAACCTTAAATCCCTTTTTATTGTTTCGACAACAAAATCCCCAACTTAATTTATTGTTCCAATGGCTTTAAGAATTTTACTACTACAATATTAATGCCTTTTTATCTAAGCCTAAATACAAATCAAACAGATAATGCATTGGAAGTAGAGGAAGTTCTGGTGATAATTTATTATCCTCAATAGGCTTTAATAAAAGTAAATAAAGTTCAAATGGTTTTGAGAGTTGTGCAGCTAAAGGGGGATTTGGAAGCTTTGGAGATGGAAAAAAAGCAACAACCGATTACAGCTGGACTCCGTATGTAGTTTATTTACTATATTTGTTTGATTGATAAAATTATGCATTGTACAACTATATATTTTTCTGCAATTTGAAATTGATTATAATGCATTGTGCCATTACTTAGGTTTACTGAGCTCGAGCGCAATGAGTATAATCAGTAAAACGACAATAATCGAAATTGATTATAATGCATTGCTGCCACCTGGTTTCAGGTTTCATCCTACTGATGAGGAGCTTATCACCTTCTACATAGCTTCCAAAGTCTTCAATGGCACCTTCTGCGCTGTCCACATTGCTGAGGTTGACCTTAACAGATGCGAATCTTGGGAACTTCCTGGTATTTTTTTTTTAATTTATTTATTAGGGCTTGCATTGCATGTGTTTTCTTCACCACTTTCATTTTCGAGTTTCTTGTTCTTGTTCTTGATATATATATATATATATATATATATTTATAAATATATATATATATATATATATATAGCAGAATTAACTTAATGAATATGGTTTTGTAGATGTGGCGAAAATGGGAGAAAGGGAGTGGTATTTCTTCAGCTTGAGAGACAGAAAGTATCCAACTGGGCTGAGAACTAACAGAGCCACCGGCGCCGGTTACTGGAAAGCCACCGAAAAAGACAGAGAAGTTTACAGCAGTACTAGTGTTGGCGGCGCTGGTTACTGGAAAGCCACCGAAAAAGACAGAGAAGTTTACAGCAGTACTAGTGTTGGTGGTGGTGGTGGTTCAAGTACTAATGGTGGTGCACTTCTTGGAATGAAAAAAACACTGGTTTTCTACAAAGGGAGGGCCCCACGTAGGGAGAAAACCAAGTGGGTCATGCATGAATACCGCCTCGACGGCGACTTTGCAAGAACAAAATCTTTTTGGTAAGAAAATTCAGCTTTAAAGCGTTATAGTATTTTACATCTGTTGATGTAAAATTAATATTTTTTTTAATATTTCAAACTCCAAGTGTTATACATAGATTAGCAGCAACCTGCCTAATATGTTCTTGACATGTCTGATGAATGTTATGAGGTGATTCTTTCATTAAATGGGATTTCTTATCCAAGGTGATTCTTCTATTGGTCTATGTTGTTTGAAGGAAATTCTTACCTTTTTATATTTATATCCTCTGATTGATTTTAGTGTGTGTTATATGATTGACTTAAGTGCGTGTTTTATTGGAATCATGCAAAATTCGAAATCTTTATATGTATTATCGTTGCTCTGGTAAAATAATTTACGATTGGTTTCCGAGTACGTTTTGAAGATACATCTGCTTGTATATTTGAAGTTACAGTTCTTTTCGCTTATGCTTTGGGAACCAATTTGAAATTGATGATAAATTTCATTTTCGAATGAGCTGCATCTGAGTTTCTATGTAGTTGCGCAATGTTGTTAAATTGTGGTCCAATCTTGTTAAGCATCTGTTTTTTTTTTTTTTGGTATTTATGCAGATTGAATTTGGACGAATGTTTAAGCTTTTGAAGGATGACGTTGCTGTTGATAATATGTTCAGTCCTTCCAGTTTATTGGTGAAGTGAAGTCGGTTTTTTGTTGAGATATTTTTGTATTTAGATCAATGGGCATATCTAGTGTACCGTTGGATATTTTTTAGACTTAACTTTGCAATTCAGACCATTTGTTTAATAGCAGCTGGATTATTATCTATCAGTTGTGAGATGTAAATTCAAATATGAGAATATAATTATTTTAAGTTTCTTTGAATTTATTATTTTGACGAAATTGTAAGTTAAACAGTCAAAACAACAATATTTATATTAGAAATATATAATTTTTGATAAATCAAATGAATTTTATATGACGAATAATTTGTCACGAGAAATTAGTAAAAAATGCTTATTTTGACAATATTTGTAGACTTTTAGAGACGAAAATATTGTCACGATACAATTTTAGTTCATGGGACGAACTAATCCGTCACAATAAGTAAGCTGGGGAGACACTTATTGTGACGAAAATCAATTTTAGTGACAAAACAATAACTCTTATGTGACGAATTATTCGTCACGAAAGCGTCAATAGTTGTGACGAGTAGAATATTCGTCACACGCTATCCCGACGATACAGTATTTCGTCACCTAATACCTTTCGCGACAGGCCTTACGCGACGACCGCTGTGACGAAATATTTTGTCGCAAAAAGTTTTTTGTGACAAAACTTTAAGCTTTCGTGACAATAATTTTCGTCACATAAAATTGTTTTTTTTGTAGTGAATAACTAATAAGTATCTTTTTTAGAAATAAAATTGAACACACATATGTCTATATACTGATGAAAAAAACAACTTAGTATTCTTTGTGGCGTTACAATTTTAACAATAGACGTCGATCCAACACAAAGAAATTGGTATGTGTATAAAGATGATATTTTGGATCAATGCAAATATCACATTAAGCAACGAATGAATTTAAAAAATAATGGATGTTGCAAAGAAAAATTATATGTAAAACTTTTTTTTTGTGAACATAATAGTACAAAACGTAAATGAAATAGTTATGTGAAAAGTAATTCATCAAATTTGAAATATTTTTGGACAATGCAACACAAGTAAAGAATCAATTGCACATACTTTATTAAAAAAATGGGGCAATTTGCTAGAGGTCCCTCTATATTATAATTTATGTGTATAAATCCAAATCAAAATTTCTATATTTTAATAAATTAATAATATTTTTTGTGTCAAAAATACCCTTAACTAAATCAAATCAAATCCCCTGAAAACCTTTCTATCAAAACAAATTTCCAAATATCTCTCTTGCAAATATTAATAAAAAAAATAAATAAAGTAGTAAAAAAAAATATACTATTTAGTGTACAAACTCTCATACTCTAAAATCGACACCGTCTCCGTCTGTCGTGAACTGCAAATAGCAAACTGACGCCTATTACTCTGTGAACTGCAAATAGCAAATGACGCCTATGATTCCGTGAACTTCAAATAGCAAACTTAGAATTTGTATTATTGAATTGCAAACAACAAAATACCAATAATTCATCCAGAAAACATCAAACTGGAAAAAAAATCAAGAATTTGCATTATTGAGTTGCAAACAACAAAATACCAATGATTAATCCAGAAAACAACAAACTGGGAAAAAAAAAATCAGAATTTGCATTATTGAGTTGCAAAAAAAATGATTACCTATGACTTCACCAAATACAAACATCAAATTGAAGAAAAAATTGAAAACGAGAAAAAATTATGTAACACTAAATTGCAAAATGCAAAATGAAAACAATTAAAGAAAAAAAAATCGAGGTGCTCACCCCAAATCCCTTGCCGCCATTCTTAACCAGTTAAAGCTCTCGGCGAGAATGGTAGGGACCGAGACGGAGATATTGTTGGGGACGAAGCAGATGGTGGATTCCGAACAACGGTGAAGAGGTGCATCCAAATTTCATGGATCGATTGCCGTAGAACCACCACCCAAGATTGGGGCGAGAATCTCATGAATTGCCTTCCATCGTAACAACTGGAGAAGTAGAAATTAAATACAAACAACAAACAAGGTCTCCAAAATAGCAAACGATTTTTCCAAACATAGAACAAGCAACATATCCCACAACCAAAAAACAAACGAAAAATATTTGTTTATAGTTTGTTGAAAGTTCTAGCTATGGCAGGATTCAACAGGGAAGAAAGAATATCGGAATCGAGAAAGGAGAGAGAGTAAGAAATTGATCAGATTTTTTCTTCGAAAGAAAAAAAATAGAATGGAAGATAAACACGATGGAGAGGCACGAGATAGAGAGGTAGAGAAAGATGGTAGATTAGATATAGGGGGGGAAAGATACGTAAGATTGTAGAGAGAGAGAGTGATATATGGGATTTACTTTCTTTTTAATTAAGGGTGTTTATGTCAATGTACTAATTATTTTATTTTATTTATATTATTTTTTTTATCAAAGGGCCTAGACCTATATTCATCTAACAGTTAGGATCTCCACCTATATAAGTCGAGAATGAGGGGTGTCTAGCCAATTTCCCCTAAAAAATATGTTTACGGTAGATATATCCAACGTCTTAACTTTAATAATTAGGTTTTCTTAATCCATTCATAAAACAAAAATTAAATTTGCACACTACGCTCCTTTACATTTTTAAGTTATTGTCTTGAAATAGTTAGTGAAAATTCATAAGCAAAAGAAGTATGTGCAATTCAATCGTTCTTTGGAATGATAACCTAAAAACTTAACTTAAGATAACTCGACAAATTAACTTTCTTAAACTATAAAATCAACCTCTCTTAAATCGTCAATCCAATAATATTTAGACACAACAATCATTTATGTCTAAAAGAAAAAAATATAGTTTAGCCATTAATTAGTTAGAGGCATCGCAATAAACTTAAAAGAAATTTCATAAGTAATATGAATAAAATTTGATAAGTAAAACTCGTGACTAAGGACAAAATAGTAAAAAGGAAATGAAATAGTAATTTTCAAAAATATTTCTTGTAATTTAATTAAATGGTTTTGGGTAATGCAACACAACTAATTTAAATTTAAATAATTAGAAGAAATATTAAATAATTTTAAATTTGAATACAACTCTTCTTTAGTGGCATAATATGAAATTGATCATTATATAAAGGAGAAAGTACAGTTTGCACCCTTGAACTATAGGGTTTGTCACAAACACCTCCTTAAACCACAAAATATAACAAAATGATTCCTTCATTTTGAATGAGTTTCTATTAATTTTTTTTAAATATTGATATTGTTATCACTAATAAATTTTATTATAATTCTTATTGTCATACATTAAACTAATTATTATTTTTCACTTTTGAAATGGTATCTTGTTCATCGGAAGGGGAAAATGCTAGTGTTATTCTAAAAAAACAAAATTGGAGTTTGAGTTAATTGCCCTAGCATTTCTTTCTTTTGTATATAAAAATTAGGATTTGGGTAATTATATATTTTGTATAATATATATCATAAAATCATATTATGTAATTATAAAATATATAATATAATATTAAAATATAATTCTTGAAATATTCAAAATTGAAATCGGATCGGAAATTGAAATTTTAGGGAATTGTATATACAAAATTCCGACCGTGTTCCAAAAAAAGTTGAAAAAAAATTGAAAGTCGGAACCTTGGAAATTGGAATAAAAAAATGATTCCAAAATTCGGAATTTTTGGGATCGGAATCGTCGGAATCTGAAAATTCCGTTCCGATTTCCATCCCTACTAATATCTCATTTTCTCATGAGAGGCACACGAACCAATTGGCAATATTTATTTTTGTCATCTCTATAATTTTACAAGACAAATTCCACAAAAAATCTCAGTAAAAGATGATCACAAAGGTCCAAAATGAAACACTTAGGAAACCAATAATAAAATAAGTAAAAAAAAAAAAAAAAGAAAAAAAGACAGGCTTCAGGTTTGACTGTCACGCACCCCACGCCACATGCAGATTAGAAAAAAATAAAAAAAATATTTAGAACACAAAAAAAAAAAAAAAAAAAAAAGAAAAAAAAAAAGCAAAGCGTATTATGTTTTTCTCTCTCCTCTCTCATATTTCCTATCTGTATCTATCTATTTCCTAATTTGCCTTTGCCCAGCTTCTCTCTCTCTCTTTCTCTCTCTCAATTTGTCATAATTTAGGCCACTGCTTCCATCTCCGCCACCGATGATCTTCGGTGCGTTCTTCGCCCCCTGTTGAACATTCTGATTTCATCGGTAACTTCCTTTTTCTTTTTCTAATTTGCAATTTGTTGTTTTTTGTTTAGAATTTGATGCATTATATAGATTTATTGGGAATTTCCTTTTTAGCGTAGGATAGGGGGGTTTTCGCCGAGTTGGATCCTGGATCGTTTTTGTTGAATTAGGTTTTTTGTTTTTGGTAATTTTCTTCTGTACGCAGAAATCAATTTTTTATTTTTATTTTTATTTTGTGTGTGGTGGATCTCTGGTGGGTTGTGGTTGTATTTGATCTTACCGTTGTTATTTTATGTTGGGTTCACAAAGTCTGTAACTTTAGTCATAGTATCTCTTTTGTGGAAAACGAATTTATCATGTTAAATAGAAATGGACTTAAATAAACAAGGATAATCGAGCTGCACGAACTATTCGATTTTTCGTTAGTAAATATTCACGGTGAGCCAAGTTCGGGAAGCTGTAGATGAATGAAGGGTGAATAATGGTATTAAGAAAATGGATTTCCCATCGAGTAAATGCTTCCTTTGAGCTAGACTGTATTGCTTCTTCCCGCCATGCATGTTCTATAATATGTTTTTTTAGGGAATATTTTGTCGAGTCTGAAATGAGTAATTGTTTAAATCTACTTTTTTTTGTTTTCTTTTGAAATTGAATGATTTTTGTTTTATACGGAAAGTCGAAGAAATGTTATAGGGGAAGAACTAGGTGCCACGTGTGGAGATCTGTAGTCATCAATATGCATTTAACCGTGTCACTTGCGTAAAAGACGTTTGAACCCTTTCCTGGTTTCTATTGAAGCAATTCTATTTTTGTTTTCTTTGGCATTTCAATGATTTTTTATTCCGAAAGTCGGAGAAATACTATAGGGGAAGAACTAGGTGCCACGTGTGGAGATCTATAGTCATCTATCTGCATTTAATCGCGTCCTTTGCGTAAAAGACGTTTGAAGCCTCCCCTTGTTTCAGTGGAATCAATTAGTAAAGCTGTCTTATTTGGAAATTCTATAGTCCTATTTGAAATGAGGAAACAAATTAAATTATTTCTGGAATGTAATTAATCAAATCCATCTCGTAAGGATAATAGCGAATTTAGGATTATCCGGACTCATATTTTATGATAAATATCTTATGAAGGGATTTTTTAGCTATTATGGTGAAAAAATGAATACGAGCGTCAACATTAGTTAAATCAAAACCGTAGTTTTAGAGAATTTTCTTTGTCAGCAACATGCAATAAAATTGCAGAATAGGAAGCTCAAGATAGTTAACATAGTCTCCAACTGTCATAAATGATTGGAAAACTAGAATCGAGTAAATATTGTAAAATTGAAGAAACCGATACACCTATTGTTAGGCATTTTTCTATATTCTCGTGTTTCAACTTCAACAATGGGTTGACTCATTGAGCAGATGAAAGATAATCGCTTTACAAAGATGATTTTGTTTTATTTTTGTTTTCCATTTACTTTTCTGTGAAGAGAATTTATTATGAAAATGATTTCAATTATGCCTTTACTATTTTTTTGCACAAACCAATTAAAGTATGTGGCGATTTTTCTGCGGTTGGCAGTTTGTGAACACTTTAGTCCCACTCGGTACCAATGGCTGACCTAATTCACCCTATTATCGTGGTTTGGTTGCGTCAATCAGTCGTCTAGTGTCCCCCTTTTTTTCATTTTTTTTCGGCACCTGGTTAGTGTTTTTGTTAATTCTTTTTTGCATGAAATGTATAATTATGTTTTGCTTTTTCTTTCTCCACTCCCATTTGCTTGTACTTTTTTATGAATCATGGTAGACCGGATTATTTTTGTTAATTATTATTTTATACAAAAATCATGTCTATTCTTTCCCTTCCTGTACTTATTAAGTGGTATGTCAAATCTCTTTCCATAAAGTGTCAGTGATTAAATTAATTAGGTTGCGTGACAAGACAAAGTAGCAATATGCGCATACGATCCAGTTGGTCATGAATTCAAGTCATCCAAAGCGGAATCAGGAAATTAGTAACTATCCTCCTAAGAAAAAGGAAAAAGAAAAGAAAAGTTAATGAGGTTGCGTCTGTTTTTTATGCAATTCGGTTTCTCATATTCGTTTATAGATTGTGCAATCTTGAAATGGGTTTAGTATTCATACACTTACTTTATTTGACGTTGGAGAATGTGGAGCGGATTGACTTTTTTTTTTCTCAGTTAGAAAGTGACTGTATTTAATTGTGTGTTAATATGTCAAATTCATCATTATCCGCACTTAGTGATGCATTTGCATTGTAGATTTTTCAAATTACGCGTGCCCCCAAGGATTTCATGTATATGGAATTCCGTCATAATCTGTTCAATTTTTGTAATTTTCAAAATCCGTACACGTCTGTAATCTTCCAATGAAATAATACACTTACTTTATTCGCAGTCGAAACAGATCTGAACATTTTGATTATAAATATAGACGACCTTACTCGAAAATTAATTATTGGTTTTCTGCAGGTGAATGACTTATTGAGGTTATAATATCAGGTATTTATTTTGGGGAATGGCGTCAGTCGGTATAGCGCCTATATCTGGTGAGGCTGTAGGTGTTGACAGGTTGCCTGAGGAGATGAATGACATGAAAATACGAGACGACAAGGTAATACAAATGGTCTAAAAGATTTGTTATTATTTGTTTGGTAAATAATTATTCGCGGGAATATTCTTTTTGTTTTGATTGTGGTTGGGACTAATTTTAGACATATATGTTTGTTTCTGTAGGAAATGGAAGCAACAGTTGTGGATGGTAATGGGACTGAGACAGGCCACATAATCGTGACAACTATTGGCGGTCGAAGTGGCCAGCCAAAGCAGGTATGATGCATATATATATATATATATTTATCTCTGTGTGTGTGTGTGTCTATATATATATAAGGGGTTAATTTGAAATGTTATACAAACTGTTTTGGAGTTTTATTATATTTAAATTATTAGGGGTTAATTTGAAATGTTAAGTCTATTTTCTCCAATGTTTCGGAACTCCTTCCAAAATCTCGTGCATATAATTCCACTTTGTCGCTCTAAATAATTGCATAACCCTCTGAATCAATTGGGGATCAAGTGCTAAATGATAATTTATTGTCATACATTGAGAGATATATATCATATATTATTAATATTGATCATAACATGGTGAATATTTTTCAAGAAATAAGACCACGTCCAGAGATATTTTAGATCTTTGTACATGTTTAAAAAAGTACATTTTTATTGATACGTAAATCTTATATTTATGAATGAAAAAATTGCACATTTGTTGTTCCTTTTTTTTTTCAAATAATTTTTTCTTGTTTTTCATTCACATATATATTTTTTGTATAAAATATCGAACACCCTTAACTAAAATCCTTAATTCACTTCCAAAGTACCCCCCAAATAAAACAAATGAAAAAAGAAATTAAAAAAACCTAGAGAATTAACCGAAAAATAAGATGACACATCGATAAATTTTTGTTTTGGTGACATGTGGTTACCATTTTTAGTTTCTTAATTGAATCTCATTTATTTTTTTGTTTAGTGAGGAGTTGTCTTAATTTGTAAGCTATATGAGATGTGCATTGCTCTTGTTTGACTCTGTTATTGGCATTCCCAGTAAAAGGGTTCACATAAGTTAAACTTCATTATATGTTTACTGTTTCTCTTTCAGTAAAAAGGGCAAAGCGAATAGATAGAACAGTAAATATTTCAAACTGCAAAATTAGTTGCATTAAAGTACTCAACTATATAACTGTAAGGCCCCGATATTGAAATGTGTTATTATGCGAAATCATTTTCATGTGTCCGATTAAATTGCTTTTTTATCTTCCTTGTCTTGGATTTCGATAAGATCAAAATTCTCCCTTGTATATTTTTCAGACAATTAGCTACATGGCTGAACGTATAGTTGGGCAAGGATCATTTGGGGTAGTTTTCCAGGTAATAAATAATATTATTTTTTTCTCCTTGAGTAATAACAATGAACTCGCTTACCAGTGTCATTATTCGTTAAACTCTTTTGTTTATCCAGGCTAAATGTTTAGAGACCGGTGAAACAGTTGCTATAAAGAAGGTTCTTCAAGACAAGAGGTACAAGAACCGAGAGTTACAAACAATGCGTCTGCTTGACCATCCAAACGTTGTTTCTTTGAAGCATTGCTTCTTCTCAACAACTGAAAAGGATGAACTATACCTCAATTTGGTTCTTGAGTATGTACCCGAAACTGTTCATCGTGTGATCAAACACTATAATAAGTTGAACCAGAGAATGCCGCTAATTTATGTGAAGCTGTATGCCTATCAGGTAATTTTCAGTTTTTTTAAAGCCGGCCCGTTTATGCTTTCTGCTCATTGTTTTTGAAGCTCGATAAAGTTTATGGTAGTAGGATTTGATACTCGTCATTGATTCGTGATATTTGATTCGTCTGTGTTGAAACTTTTTAATTCAGTAGAATATACTTTTGTTGAATTGGTACAATGAAATATTACCTAGATATTACGTGTGTTAAAATTTGTTGCTGTTATTTGTGGATCAAGATTTTGCCTAACCTTACTTTTGGAGAAATCTGACATTTTCCGACCTGTGCCATTAATCTGAGCTCTGTGTAGGAGGATTGATATTTGTTTAAATTTATAATTACATTTTTATTTGGCAGATTTTCAGAGCATTGTCTTATATCCATGGTAGTATTCGAGTATGTCACAGGGACATAAAGCCGCAAAACTTGTTGGTATGTATTTACGTGGTACTTTATTACTTGCTAAACTTTTATCTTATTTGCTATTTCTTAATCTTATTTGCGGAGGCTTTTTAGCCTTCTAAAAGTTTGACACCTACATGTAATTATAGGCCCCTTCGGATGATTATGCCAGTTACCATCACTTGTACACCACTTTTGTTTTTATTTTTACGGTGTTTAAGATATACAGTGTCGTATATTTCGCGGTGTAGTGTGTTTAGCCGTTTGCTGATAATTATTATTTTCATAACATCTTTCTTTTAGTTAAAGTTCTTTCGAGTTTACTATGACTTATCCGGGAGCTGGGATACTGATTCTCTTACTGAATTGTAATCTTATACAAACATGAATAGAAAATTAACTAAGTTAACCTTTAGGCAACCAGAACAGAAAGCAAGGGTAATTAACAAACTGTACCGAGGCAATCATCTTAATCAAAAGATTAACGCATTGCTTTTGTAGATTAGAATCTGAATTTGTTCATAGCCGTTTTGACCATTTGCTTATATATCTTTCCATGTTAATAAAGTTGTGGTTTCTTGCAGGTGAATCCGCACACCCACCAGGTTAAATTATGTGATTTTGGAAGCGCCAAAGTTTTGGTATGTAGAATATTTCACAAAGAGGAGTTATATTATATCTAAGTAATGTGAGGTTGGCAATTAAGCTCAATCTTTTTGTCAGGTGAAAGGGGAGCCGAATATCTCGTATATCTGCTCCAGGTATTATAGGGCACCTGAGCTTATTTTTGGAGCAACAGAGTATACTACCGCTATTGACATTTGGTCTGCTGGGTGTGTTCTTGCTGAGCTACTTCTCGGACAGGTACTTTTTAAATAATTCTTTGTGTATGTTTATGTTTCCCTTTCCGTTTAAAGTCTACGTTTCCTGTGGCATAACCGTGATATGATTTCTGCCCCTTTTTAATGTGGAATGCTGTTGGCTTTTTTCTCCTTCAGCCCCTGTTTCCTGGTGAGAGTGGAGTTGACCAGCTTGTTGAGATTATCAAGGTTCTCTCTCTCTCTCTCTCTCTCTCTCTCTCTCTCTCTCTCTCTCTCTCTCTCTCTCTCTCTCTCTCTCTCTCTCTCTCTCTCTCTCTCTCTCTCTCTCTGTGTGTGTGTGTGTGTGTGTGTGTGTGTGTGCGTGTGCGTGTGCGTGTGCGTGTGCGTGTGCGTGTGTGTGTGTGTGAATAAATGGGGAGTGGAAGATGTTCAGACGTGTGCGTGTGCGTGTGTGTGGCAGTTGATAAAATTTTGGTTGTTAGTGTTTCGTGTCATGGAAGATGTTCAGATCCTGTTGAGGGATGTGTAGGCAGGCAGTTGATAAAATTTTGGTTGTTAGTGTTTCGTGTCATCTTGTCTCTGTGTTCAGACAAAACTGTCAATTTTATTTTCAGGTTTTGGGTACTCCAACGAGGGAGGAAATAAAATGCATGAATCCTAATTATACTGAGTTCAAATTCCCACAAATTAAAGCCCATCCATGGCACAAGGTAACTATTGTAAATTAATGTGATTATGCGTTAATGAGTTTTGTAGATTATTACTTATGAATTTGAATCGGCACCAGATTTTCCATAAGCGCATGCCCCCAGAAGCTGTTGATCTCGTTTCAAGGCTGCTTCAGTACTCTCCTAATTTACGTTGCTCAGCTGTAAGTATTAATATTAATTATTTACGATTCCAATCCAGCTATGTTGGTCACTGTGATTGATTGGATTGGATTCTTCAGTTCCTTAATTACATTTTATTCTTGAAAATCGGAGAGGTTGCCAGAATTTTGGATTTCCAAATTCCCGTTTCTCATTCTGTTGATGCCGATAATATTAGTAGAAACGAACTTTTGTGAGTTGTGACAGCCCTTATTATCAAGTTATTTATTCTAATATTTTTGACACACATTTACTTTTTAACCATAATAGATGGATGTGTTGGTCCATTCTTTCTTCGACGAGCTACGTGATCCAAACGCCCATCTGCCTAATGGACGTTTCCTTCCTCCATTATTCAACTTTAAGCCTCATGGTACAACTTTCTGCAATGCAATGCAATCTTTTTTTTCTCTCTCTCTCTCTCTTTTTTTTTTTTTTTTTTTTTTTCCTTCGGGGTTATTAGTGTTGAATTTTGGGTTTTTATTATTTAATTTAATTTTTAATCTTTTTAATTTCTTTAATTTTCAGAGTTGAAGGATGTCCCGATGGAGACATTGGTGAAGTTGATTCCTGAGCATGCTAGGAAGCAGTGTCCCTTCCTCGGACTTTGATTCCTCCAAGTGCTTTAGACCAATCATTTAGTGGTGTCCTTTATCGTCGTAATATTTCTTCCGATGCCCGTTCGTATTACCGTTCACCTTATTGTGTGTGTGTGTGTGTGTGTTGTTGCTTTGTAGTATTATTATTATTACCTTGTTTTGTAAAATCAGGTCGAAGGAAAGTGCTATTAAACTAATTACCCAAAACCTCATCGTGTATTCTGATTCGTCCTGTTTTCGTTCTGCCCCTACAGACATGTTTCTCATTTATATGACTATTTATTATCTAAATGAACTTCTTTTATTCCCCCGGGCAATATAATCAATCTTATGAAGGATGCACATTTGTCGATTTTCTGGCGTATGGGAGTGTAACATTGTTCGTTTTCGTCTTGGTACTCTTTCCTCATTTCGTAACATTGAGAACTACCGGATAATTTAGGGAATGTAAACTTTCATTTGAGATAACATTTTTAAGGTTGAGGGAGTTTGGTTTAGCTCATAAATACCTTTTGGCTAGTTTCATATACGGTTGAGTCCCAACTAATATATACTCAGCAATGTCCATCGCTTTATATTAGAATTAAAACAACCTTTCTTTTCCACTTAATAAAATAAAATAAATGCTACTAGTCAAAAGAACGTGTTTTAACAAAATCGTTTTCAATACATATTTATTTATTTATCCCCCAACAATTTCCAAAAATGTTATCCAAAAACGTGTTCTCACAAACTTTGTGCACGTTTTTCTACTAACGTTTGTTTTCGGGCAACAACATTATTTGTTCTGTTTGTTATGAAATCACTCTAAGTCAAACGTTCTGCATTCATATTAGAGAAAATCGACGACGAGAAAGACCGAAAGATCAAGAAAGAGGGAGAAAAGTTTGACATGATTGTTTGACATTATCGTTCTCAAGTTATATATCGGAATGACGGTACTCTTTTGTAAGGTTTAATTTTGTTATAAATTGTATACATATTTTATTAGGGTTTATTCACTATCCCACATTGATTTACTATCTAGTATAACCATGTATTCTTTTTTACTTAGTACAATAATATGAATTCTCAATTCACTTTCTACATATGAGGATTTTTCGTTTTTTATCTGCATTTGGCATGTTTGTATATGCGTTTGGCGGATTTGTATATGCATTAGTAAATTTGTGCCTCCGTTTAGTAGTGTTTAGAGGTTTGTTTTCAAGTAACCCTTTTCGAAGACCCATCTGCCGTCACCGCTCATCCAGAAGGGATGGCCACCCTCTGATCGGCGTCTTCCCAAAATCCGGCGGCCAAAACCCTAGCGCATGATTCTCACGTGCCACCTGAAGGTTTTCGCCACTATTCCACGCGCTGGCGCGTCTGTCAATTGCTTGCGACCATCTTTCTTATCCATCGGTGCCTCCTCTTTGCGAAAAAAGTCCAGTGGTTGTCGTTGTCGTTGCTGCCGTGGTTGACAACGTTTTTGCTGAATTAGCCGGTTTTTTGGTGGTTTAGTGATATTTTCTTCAATCTGGGTCGTGGATATCCTTTTGCGACTAAAGATTTGTGGCAATTCGAAGATCGTATGCACTTGTTCGGGGCAACGAGGATGTGCCAAATTAGGCGGGGAGGATGTTATGGACTGCCAGATTTGGCTGAAACCTTAGCTAGTTTCCCTTAGATTGGGGATATTTAGTCCAAGACTTAGACCGATTGAGTTAGGCCCATTTTGGCCAAGTGTAAATAAGCCTACTAGAGATTCGTGGAAGATTTTAGAATACTTTCTAGAATCCTTCATTTGCACAGATGTTGCATAAATTCTTTGGAATGCTTTAGTGAACAATTCTAGCTCTTAGATTAATTGATCTACACCGCCCATTAAAGAGGCGGCTTAGTATAAATAGGAGTAGGGACTTTATTTATAAACCATCCAAGCAAACTTCAAACATTCAAGCAACACAAGTTCTCTTGTCTTCTTAAGTTCTTTGTTCGTTTCCCATTACTTGTCATTCGCAACACATTCGGAAGTTTGACCAACCAGTACAAATGGATACTCGTGTACAGTTCATGCAAAGTTTTAAGCAAAAAACAATGATGGAACACGTCACTAAAAGTATTCATATTAGGTATCTTAGATAAAAATGATAAAAACATCACTAAATTCATTCTTACCCGAAAATTCGGTAAAAACATCACTAAAATCATTATTACTTGGAAATTCTTATGAAAGTATAGCATATTAACTAATGAAAATTTAAGGGTCTTATCCACACATTTGCTAAATTGTCATAGAGTTGATGTGATCGAAGAGTCTAAAGTAGAGTGGTGCGAATGAGGGATATATATAGTACCCCGCATTTTTCAGTAACCTAATTTAGTAGTTTTCTATCGTTACCTTTGCATGAATTATTCGCTGATGAAAATTCCAAGGGTCCTCTCCTATCTCAATATTCAATCGAGGCAATGCAGGAACCATCAATTGATCTCTGCGCCAAATGCTAGATTTCAACGGAGGATCCATTTATTTATCTAAGCCGCCAATTGTTAGCACCAACCCTGATCCCGAGGAAAACAGTCACGCTGATGACCTTGGCTTCCGACGACCTGAAAAAGAAAAGGCCGGACTGATGCCGGAGTTAGCACTCCGACGATCAAGTCAGTGATGGTTTAATTGCTGTGTTTTCCTAGGATTCAGGATATATGTCTTTAAAGGAAAAGAGAAACTCCCTTTTATATACACCTCGACCCGGAGCTCGAAGGCCCGGGAATTCCGCGCTAATTACGGATGACAGTTGTTCTTCCCCGAACAGCCCGGGCGGCCGGGGTCATGATAACTCCTCAGTAGGTCTACTGACCTCGTTCGGTGCTAGCCGTTGGGTCGCACCTGGTCATTTCGCCATAAATGTTACTGTCAGAGCATTAAATGTGCCGTCCAGCATTTATGACTCTCCCGAACTGTAAGGGCTCCTCGGGAGGGAAATCAGGCCCTGTAGGAACCGTCCTTTACGCCAATGGGCTGGGCGACCCCTTGGACCGTTAGTACTGGTGGGCCCAACCATTTGATGGGCCTTGATAATTGGGCTCCTGGTCTTGGACCGGAAAAGAATAACTCCGATCCGGATCAAACCCCATTTTAGTTTGGGTTTGGTCTTACATATGGCTTCGGTCCTTATATCAAAATTCCATCATCAAAGTTGCAATTTGGAAATGATGAACTTTACGGCATCTCTCTTTTCTTCTTTAATTTTAATTTTATTTTCTTTACGTTTTCTGTATTTTTACCCAGAGCAACTTACATTTGATCCAAATTACATTAATAAGGGTAATTTAGTCATTTCCATAAAATCAACAGACTTATCACAACTAGGTGGTGGTAGGCTATATAAATAGGGTAAATGGCAAACATATCCATGACAAGCGGCTTAAATGCACATAGGTCCAGACAATAAACACTCTCGCAAATAAATCTAGGGTAAATTCCATTTTACCCCCTCGTACTATGCCTGAGAATCACTTTACCCCTCGTACTTTCAATTTCATCGATTTACCTCCTTGTACTTGTACAATTTCCCAATACAGCCCTTACCTTCAACTTTTGACAATTTTGTCTCTGACGCCGTTTGGTCAACTCTGTTTAAATTACAAAATTGCCACTGCCTACAACGCGTTGTTTCTTCTCCGTCAATATTGTCATTTCTTCTTCTCCCACCACTTCCCCTTACAAGATATCCCCAAATTGAACTCTTAACTTAGTAAAAATCAAGACCCAAAAATTGATCGATTCCATCCAGTGCAAAGAAAAAAAATATATCAATGTGTGAAACTTTCTCTTTTCTAATCTCGGGAGTCAAAATCGAAAAAAGTTGACGAAGAGGGTTGTATTGGGAAATTGTACAAGTACAAAGGGGTAAATCGACGAAATTAAGAATACGAGGGGGTAAAGTGGTTCTTGGGCAGAGTACAAGGGGGTAAAGTGGAATTTACCCATAAATCTACCCCCATATCTTTTGTCTAAAATACCCCTCATAATATAATTTTCACCAATTCCATCCATTATACTCTAACTTCATCAATATTGCACACTGACCCCGGATTTGAACAAATATATCACATTTACCCCTATTTCTATAATGTTTTGAAATTTTTTTTTTGTTTCTGAAATTTTTTTTTCGGCCGTTCAACCGTCGTTGACCGCTGGTCTCCGATGTAGATTTATTTTTTTGTAAAAATTTTTTTTCTCTAAATTATCGTGTTAACAACAAAATTATTGTTCGAAACAGTAATATTGAATGCCAAAATATTATTATTACTAATATTACTGCCCCAAACACTAATATTACTGCATGATGCAGTAATAGTACGATCGAAGACAACAAAATTGCAGGCCAAGACGAGAAATTAATTAATACAGTAAAATTATTGTCTCGGACAATAATATTACTGTCTCCAAGACAGTAATATTGCAGGTCAAGACAATAATATTAATAAAAATATTTTTTTTTAAGAAAAAAAAGTAAAAGCATAATAAAAAATAAAAAATAAAATTCAAAAGCGGCTGTCCGGCCGTGGCGGTCAAAATTGGGGTCAAAATAAGAAGAGATTATTTTGGAGACCTCCCTAATATTGAAAATATATAACTAACCACCATGTTGTTTATACCCTAGTGCAAACCCCCTCCATTTGGATAATAATTTGACATACCCCCATCGACAGATTTGAAGTACCAAGAATACCCTTTTAAATCAGTTTTAAACCCTAGCCAACTTATATCGGTCTCTATCTTCCTCTCTCAACTCCCGGATCTAAATCCCGCCTCCATAGATCTCCAACCGGCGAAGTTGCTTCCCGAAGTCATAACTCTCTCTTCGATGGTCGGAATTCGATGGTTTAACTACCGTTGGATTCCTCTCGTCAAGCTCTTTCTTGTAGTGGTGATTTAATTCAGTTTGGAGCACTCAATATATTTTTGAAATCGTTTTACAGTCGTTGCGTATTTTAACGACGGTGGGTCTTGGCGGAGGTGTAATTTGTGTTCCGGCAGTTGGAATTTGACGGGCTACCCAGCGTTGGATTCCTCTCATCGAGATCTATATTTTGATGGTTATTTTGATCATTTTATTATTGTCATATTTATTTCTATATTTTTTTCATTTGTGAGTGCGGAACCTTGGGTGGTTAGCGTCGGCTAGGGTTTTGGTAGGAGGCGCTTGGGGTGAGGAGCCATTGGCGTTTTGGTCTAAAATTTGCAGCAGTTCGCAGTTATGGCCTTTCTCTCTCTCCATCTCCCTATCTCTTAGTGTTTGTTGACTTTTGAGTATTTTGACGTTTCTTCAATTTTTGTTGATTTG